TATGATGAAATACCAATACAACATTGTCATTATATTGAAACAATTGATAGAACTCTCTAAGACATAAATATTACTAACAAGTTATTTGGTAAAATTACTATATTCTTTAGTAGAGATTTTGGTAAATTTTTTTTTGTTGTTGTTAAAGGTTTAAAAAAAGAAATTGTTGATGCTTTTTTGTAATGGTCAAAGATTTGATCTAATATTAAAGTGTACAAATTGACCAAAATTATGCATCTAGAAGGTGTATTTGATGAAAATTGATTACTTTCTAAAGAGCTCTTGAAAGCATATATTATACAAGACTATTACTTTTGAAATTTTTTTTATGATATAATAATTTTATGTAATTTATCTAAAAAAATTTCTATTTACAAATTAAAAATGGATCAAGAATTATAGATCATTTTAAGAATAAAGTGATTCTTTTAGAATATATGAAAGTAGTTTCAATATCAAATGGCTTAATTTAAAGTATTTATTTAGGATTGAATGAAGATGAGATACTTGAAAATGAATAATTCACTAATAAGTCTATTTTTCCTATACAAAATTATGATATTAATGATCTAAATAAGTATACAATGGAGAGATATTTTATATTTTATTTATTTATTTTAGTACAAATGTAGCAATTATAAAAGATGGTACAAATAATATTAATTATTATCTGATTCAGTTTTTGAATAGCTTACATCTATGTAATTTTCTATCATTTAGCTTAGAGCTAAAGGTCAAATGTCTTATTATGTTATTGCAAAACATTCATCTGCATCAAAGACTTTGTAATTAATCAAGCATAATTATTATATAACTTACTAATTAAATTATTGAAGGAAGAGTTTTTATTTTAAGACTATAAGGAATAATTGGCTTTTCTTTGAAAAATAACATTACGTCCATTATTTGTATAATTCTTTTTTAAATTTTAGTGAAGGAAATTTCCAATAAAAATAAGATTTCTAATAACCATTAACAAATCTCAAGGACATATGTTGAAGAATGTAGGAATAAATCTTAGAACCTTGTTATTTGTATATAGATAGTTATATATTGTCATTTCATAATATACTTCTTCAAATATGATCAAGATCCCATATCTTAAAAATTATAAAGATAAAAATTCTATCATAAATATATTATATTTAAAACATTTTTAACTTAGCTATCTTTTTTTATAACAAATAAATATTATATTTGTCAATTATAATAAAGAAACAAAAATTATTCTATTTTTATAAATATATATATATATATATATATATATTCTTTTCTTTTCTTTTCTTTTTGATCAATATTTCTTTAGAATTGGTCAATTTATGACTTAGCAAGTGCAAATTAAAGTTTTAAATCTTTTTTGTGGCCAATGGCATGGATTTCTACTCTAATATTTTAAAATATATATAATTTAGTATATAAAGCTATAAATATTTATTAGTTTATTTATTAATTTTGATTTGTAGAATGAAAAATTTTGAAAAAATTAAGTGTTTTGTTGTAGCAAATCATTGTAAAAAGTTATTTAAACATGATTAATAGGATATATAGATGTAAGTTTTTTTTTTTTTTTTTTTAATTGTGGTAACATATTGTGAAAGCATTGTGGCTTAATAGTTTAGTTAATTGAACTCTATTCATATTATTATATAATTACTTTGTAATCTTAAGTAATATGATTTTATTAGAATTTTAAAATTATTTTCAATCAATGCAATAATTGTTATAAAATAAACCTAATTATAAGAATTTTATTTCCAGCTTTAATGTGGAATTTTCTATTTTCAACTTCATATGTGTAAATATGCACATATTTATGATTGTGTGTATAAAGTAATAAATAATTTTTAAGCTATATATGCTCATTTTTAGTTAAATAGGCACTATGTAATCTTAAGCAATGTGGTTTTATTGGAATTTTAAAAGTATTGTCAACCAAAGAAACAATTGTTGAAAAAAAAATTGATTGTAAGAATTTTATTTTTAGCTTTTATTTTTCTTTCTTTGAGCTTTCTTTTGTTTTATTTGAAATTATAGGACTAATACTCTATAATAAATTGTTTCAATTTATCTTTGTATTTTGTTATATTTTCCATGATATTGTTAAAAAATTGCTCTTCAATTAACTTTGATAAGTGTTAAAGCTAGACCATTGACAATAGTATAAGTTCAACCAAAAATATGGAATGAGCTTCTTAAAAAATATAATAAAAAATCTTGAATATGTGAAATCTTCATCCTTATCAAATTCCAATAAAACCGTAATCTTCAAGTGTTTGAAGAAGGTTATATAGTATGTATAAAATAAAAATGAATCTATACAGCTTAATTAATTAAATTATAATTCTCAAATGCTTTAATAATATGTTATAACAATACAAAAATAAAGATCTTACATCTATATATTCCTACTTATCATTTTTGAATATATTTTTATAATGACTTGCTACAAAAATAATCTCAATTTTTTCAAAAAACAATAATTTGAAAACTAAAATAAATAAATAAACTAACAAATATTTAAAATTCAATTTTTTTAATATTTTATTAAAAATATCAACTAAAAATTATTTATTATTTTATATATAAAAATAGATATAAGAATATATTTATACATATGAATTTGAATATGAAAAATTTCACATAAAAGTTAATAATAAAATTCTTATAATTAGGTTTTTTTACAAGAATTGTTGCTCTAGTTAAAAATACTTTTTAAATTCCAATAAGATCTTATTGTTTAAGATTATATAATACGTATAGAATAAAAATGAGTGCATATAGCTTAATTAATCAATTTATGATATTATAGTGCTTTAACAATATGCTATAATAATATAAAAATAAAGATCTTACATCTATGTATTCTTAGTGGTTGTGTTTAAACATCTTTTTATAATGACTTACTACAACAAAATGCATATCTTTTTCAAAACATCATATTTTTTAATCTAAAACGAGTAAATAAATTAAAAAAAAATTATTACTTTATTTACTAAAAATTATTGACTAAAAATTATTTATTGCTTTATACACACAAACATATTTACACATATAAAGTTGAATATAGAAAAATTAAAGATCTTACATCTATATATCCCTATTGATCATGTTTAAATATCTTTTTACAATGACTTAATTTTGTTACTAAACCCTCTACATGTGCATTGTACTGATATGTACATTGAGTTAGTGTTGTCTTTATAATGAAAATAAGACACAAGTGCTAGAATTATTAATTTATACTGCAAATCAAACCTTTGGAAGAACCTTTGATGTCCAAAATTACTATATTAATCAATTTGAAATCACTTCAAAGATGCCCTATGAGAAGATGAAGGTAAAAAATTAAAGATTGCATGAAATCTACTATAATTGCAAAAACAATATTACTTTTTATAGCCTTGATTGAAAAGCTTCCAACCTCCATGCCCAATGATCTTATAATGCTACTCTTGACAAACTATAGTATCAACATGCAAATGATTGATCAAAAGTTGAGTTGTTGCTTCACTTATAATGAAAAAAAAAATGAATTATACAACCAATGGTTTTTGTCTCTTTTGGTTTATTTTGTTGGTTTGTCTCTCCTCAATTGTTTTATATAAGAAATATATATACACACACACACACACATAAATATATATATATATATATATATAAAGAATATAAAATATTTTGTATAGTAAAATAAAATAAAAATATATAAATAAATTTATTTCCTTCAATTCATTTTTTAATGTTTTCTTTGCCTATTTTTATCTATTTATTTAATAATATTATCTTAATTTAATTTTAATTTCATAATACTATAAGAGTAATTTATAAAACAAAAGAGTATTTTCTATGTGAATAATTTCTTATTTCATGATTATATTTTTGAGAATAATTAACACATTTTAAATTAGAACCTAAGCAAGAAATCGAATCAATAAATGCTGTAAATTAAATTGTTGCATTTATTTTTTTTCACATCAAAAGAACTAGACTCAAGTGGATAAGTTCATTATTGTCAGCCTCAAATACATGAGGCAATTCTTGTTTTTAGCCGGACTGTTGGGCTTTTGAGCAATAATAATTTTTTAATGTTGGACAATTTTTATATGCAATAAAAAAACTCAAACTTCTCACACTGAAAGAACCAGACCAAACTTTTCAGATGTATATTACAATGACAAATTCTACTAAATATCAACCTTTTTGTCATCTTAATTCTATTTTTCACATGCTAAATGATGTGAACTGCATTTGATATACAATTCATAAATCATATTCCTAACTAGTAATGTTTGATTTCTTTATTTCGTGAAAATTTTATGTAATTCATTCACAAATACAATTTTCTCTAATATTTGTTTCAAACTATTTTATAAGGAAAATAATATTATTTTATTATTTAAGAAATATATATATATATATAGATATATATATATATATACACACACACACATTGTGACTGAATTATTATATGATTTCAAGAGCTTTTTGCTAAACTTGGATTAATCTCGAATCAATCCTCACGCCTCCAATGACCAACAAAAAAAACCACACAACAACAAAACCCACCAACAAAACCCAGACATCCACAACACCCACGACATCCATCCATCCACCCCTTCAAGGACCCCAGAAACTCGACCCCTAAAGCCATGTCACGCGAAAGATTTCACCTCCATCGCAACAGACCTACGTGGCACCATCCAGTACAGAAACGCCGGGTGGCACGACGCAAGTGGCGGGGACCCGGGAGTGGCGCTGAGGGGGAAGGCCAATGGGAGGCCAATAATTGGAAGTGGGGAGGGGACGCGGAAGGGAGGTGTTTCATCTATCCATCTATCCATCCAGCAGCGTCATTGTGGACACTGTGCTTTTGTCAGTCATGCGACGCATGCATGACCGGGCACTGCCACCTGGGCGAAATGCATTCGCCAAACCCCAAGCAGTGCCACCTGGCCTGTCTCCGTCACTGCCCCCCCTTCACCCCGCCCTCTGCTCCTCCACTTCTCCCAGCGAAGCCTTCCCCTTCCCTGCCCTTCCGCTCCCCTTTCCTTTCCCCTTCGCTTCGCTGGGTTTGCTTCATTGGGCCAGGGGGCGGGGGTGTATCGATCGTTACATGGCAAATTGGAGCAATCGGGGGAGTTGCTGTAATGTGAAGGGCCCTGAAGAAGAGTGGGCACTGCATCGGAGCTGGACTGTTGTGGAGGAGGACGAGGACGAGGAGATCACCGTGGGTTGTAGGCTAAGCTTTGGGTTCGTTCCCGACGTCGGGCTTCGTTGTTGAGCTGTTGTTGTTGGTGTTGTTATTCCGGGAGTTTTATATTCTGTGGTTGTTGAGTTGTTGAGTTGTTGTTGTGGTGGTGTATTGATTTTGTTTCTTCCTTGAGTGGTTCGTTCAATGCAGCGTGTCTTGATGTTGTAGTTTGGGCGTTTTCTGAGCTGCGACGGTACTGATGATGGTCGAGTGACGGTTCCTAGAGTATGGATTCGTCGATGGTGAGAGAATGTGGTGGGTGGGTGGATGGGTGGGTAGTGTGAGCGGTGGTGGTTTGTTTGGCTGGGAGCAGTTATTTCTGTTGGATTGTCGTGTGTGTAATCTGGAAAGAGGATGTCGTTTTTCATGGTGTTTTTGGTCAAGTACACACCGAGAGCGGAACTCTACTGTGATTTTTATTTTTATGTTGCGTTGAACTGCAATTTCTTCCTTCTGGCGGGGTGCGATTTTTTTACTAATTAAAGTTACGAAACAGATTTTTTTTTTTTCTTTGCTTGTTTTTTCCGCGGCATGGCTGATACATGCTCGTTGCATTGCAGAGATCTGCACTTCTTTTCGATGGTTGTGACAATTGGGGACATGTAAGCGCCCTCACTGCTACTGAAATCATCTCATTGCTTAAAGATTTCTGGAGAGCTGAATGACAGAGGTTTGGAACTGTTATTACCCTTGGGAATTCGGCTTTTCCTGTGCACTGTATAGACGTCTAGCGTTCGAGGTTTTAGAGTTGCTCAAATGCTTTATTTTGGTTTTTCGAAAGGTCGTCTTCAATTTTTTTGAATCCACGTCAGGTTTGGAAAGAGATCCTTGGAGCCCTGTGTACATTTTCTTATGTTCCGTGGTCAAGATAGCATAATGGTAGACGATTGGTACTGCGTTGTTGGATTATTGTCGGACATGACAATGATTCTAAGCTTTTAGGTCATGTTCACCGAATATTTTTGTTGATTGCATTATGGTCACGTACGTGTATTGACATTGCATGCATGTGTTATTATGTAGGTTCGTTTGTGTGGAGAATTCAAAAGTGGAAGTGAATAACGACAACTGGACTAGACCTTGCTAAATCGTAATGGCAGGTACGCTTAAAAAATAAATAATAAATAATAAAAACCTTACATGTATCGGTACATCACGTATGTTATTTGATAAGAGTATTATGGTTTTGAGATTGATAAATTAGCCTTTGAAATGTTTAGTCCTAACTAGAAGCAATTTCATGATTCTGATTCAATCGTCCTTGTGTGATCAGATCCTATCAAAGCCGAAGCGTCAGCTGATAGCGCACATGAAAGTATCACTTCCGTTGTTGTCCAATCTGAGCCAACAGATGCCGCTCGACCCCTTGCGGCGTTAGATGTGAATACTCCTATTGGTGGAGGTAGTCACCGCAAACGAGCTGTGCAACATGTTTCTACAAGGGCCACGAGAAAAGCTGTTGTTAGTTGGATGATTGAAGATGAGGCCATCAACGGGAAGAAACTGCTCATTTCACGAGCAGTGAGAGCTTTCCCCGAACATTTTTTTGGAGCCGACAAGTCTAACTTGCAAAAAGCTTCGTGTTGGTGGAAAAGGCGCGATGAAATTCTTGAAGATAACGACGATGACCATGACCCTGAAGTGACATGCAGGGTTCGAGTTAGTAGTCGTGGTAGCCTCAAGGCTCGAGCAGGGCGCGGACGCAAGCGTGCTGCAAGGATTATTCGTGCTCCAGTACTTGGAGTTTTAGATGCGAAAAGGGCGAGGCGTGGCCGCGTCACAAATCATGGCAGCAAGAACGGCAAGCGTGCCTTGCAACATGTTTCCACAATGGCTACGAGAAAGGCTGTTGTGAGCTGGATGATCGAAGATGAAGCTATCCATGGAGAGAAGTGCCTTATTTCACGAACCGTTAAAGCGTTTCCTGAACACTTCTGCGGGAACGATAAAGCTAATCTAGCGAAAGTTTCGCGATGGTGGAAAGCGCGGGATGAAATCCTGCAGGATGACGATGAAGAGGGTGTTACTTCAGATAAGCACAGCTTGGCTCTGATTAACAGTCGTCCCCAGGTGCGATTGAAGGCAAGACCAGGCCGGGGACGCAAGCGAGCTGCCTGGGTTAGCTGGCTCCACACCCAACTTCTGGAGGAAACTGGGCGACTTCGCAAGATAGGAGTGAAGGTGTCGCCGAAGCTGTTGCAAGAGATTGCCTGCCATATCCTTCGTATGTCTAATGCAGAATTCAATGAAAAGACACTCGATCCAAAAGACAGCGTTCCTATCGTTCAGAAAATCACCCCCCAGTGGATCCAAGGGTTTATGAATCGAACAAAGGTTGCCAGGGATCCCGACGTCAAGATGATAACTGACTCGCAACCCGACGTATCATAGAATGCTCTATGCTTCTGAAAAAAATATATATACATATATATATTTAACAAATCCAATGAGCATGGAGTTCTCTATGGCCAGTAAACGCATCAATTCATGTCCAGCACGTGAAAAGTTGTGGGTCAGGCATGTTTCTAAGAAAGAGGATTCACACATACTTCGGCGTTTTCAGTAGTTGCTACTCGGATGTGAAGGCTTGGGGTTAAGCCGGATGGTCTTCTCAAACCATGCTTTTCACGTGCAAACCCCGAGCTTCCGGCAAACCGAGGAGTTCTGCAGCACAACAGAAGACGTTGCTGCTTCTCTAATCTAGCCCAAGATAGTATCCTGCTCTGTCTACATTGTGTGTATAATGTTACTGGTTGGGTTTGCGGGCTTCGGAGATCTGTTACAGGGCTAGTAAGAATTTTCAGCAGAATGCAAAAGCATTACTCTGTTCGTTCTCGCTCTACAAGCTTCAGCATTTGTACATTCTAATTCCATGTCATGCATTGACAAGAAAAAGCATTGCCGTCAATTATGCACTGAGCTTTGGCTTGTCTTCACATTATCACTCTTTGAAAGTGTTTTAAACATGTTGATGTATGGTTTTGTATTCATTTGAATTCACTACTAAATAAGTCATGCTTTTTTCTGGGGTTGTACTTGAGAACTGAAGATGACAGTGCAATACACACTTCGGATCACACGTCTTTTGCAATTCTGTGCCAAAGCGCACATTAACATTTTCATTTTGGTCATGGTATTTGATTATACGAAAAGTTGGCATTGTGAGAAGTCTTCCTTTTTTGCGTTGGTTTGTCATTTTGAAACTCACAAGATAAATCGCTGAAGTTCTCGCATTGAATTATTGAATGAATACTTCACGGAATTTGGTCTGTAAACAGAGTATGTGTGTACAAGTTCGTGAATATGTACAACTCAACCAAACAAACACGAATTTATGTTGTGGGTGTGCACGGGAATTTGAATAACATAGAATTGATATGTGTTCTCAACTGCAAACTTTACTTTATTCTTAGCAGTACTGGTGAGATTATAAAAAAATAGGTAACTAAGCAAGGAAACTACTGCAACTTCAATTGAAACGGGGAAACTTGGCGTAGAATTTCGTAGAATTCGATATCTTGACCCCAGCAATACACAGCACTCTTTTTAATGCGAGGAAAGCTGTTTGGGGTTGAATTTGCCCCTACTAAAGTTTTTCACTTTTTATTTCTGGGGTTTTTAAGTTGAGTTCTGTGTATTCTTAATTCTGAAAGTTAAATGTAGTATTTCAGAGAAAAATGTATTTAATCTGTAATTAAGATTATTACAAAATGAATGTTGATGTATTTAAAAGGAGAAGTAGCTATATTTTGCTCGGTTGGATTGACAGCCTCTGCACGTCTCTGGGTGGGTGCGTGTGGCGGCCTAGGAAACCTAACCCTATTTGTCTCCGTATTTAAACCCTTCGCAGAGGCTACATAAGGAATGGATTGTGGATAGAGGATGTGTTTTCAAGTGGAGCCATTGGCTTCGCTGCATTTATGGTTCTCGTCCTTATCTCTTGGAATGCCCCTGCTTTAGCTATTGCTCCCGGCGTGAAGATGAGAGGAGAGCAGTTTGAGAAGTTACGAGCGAGAGAGCCTCTGTGTTTGATGGGTCGGTTTTCGGCGCCCGAAATTACTGTTACGGGACGTTGTAGTGATTCCTTTGAATGGTATCACTCTTCTCTGCGGTTGATGAACGTATTGCTGTAGAGGTGCATGAATGCCGCGGCGATTGCTCTTTTCAAATGTCTCGGTGCACGGCGTCGTCCTACGTGACGTGGTCGTTTCAGATTCCTACAATCGATTTATCATGCCTCGACACTGAATACAACTCAGATTGTTAGAAGGGTAGGCCCCCCTGATCTTTCCTTGCTTTTGTGAATGCTATGGAAATGCGGATCGTCAATGTTATGTTTTCATGTGGAGCCTTTTTTAGGTCTAGGTTAAAGTCTGGTCGCTACAAGGCAGTGCTCATACTATGATGCATCGGTTCTGAGTCTTCGCTCTACGTCGCATGGCGACCATGTATAAATATTCTGTGTAGTCGAAGGTCCTCGAGACTGAATGTGTTTGCCCGATGTGTACATGCCTTCAATTCGTAGAGGTATTAACTCCCGTAGTGATAAAGTGGAGATGAACCCAAATGATGAAGAGAAATCTCTATACCAACTGTCCTGGTTCACAGGGCAGCTTGTAAAGTGATAGGTCTTATGTCATAGTTACACTGATGGTTCTTCTCCATTTTTTTCTGTCTTGGACGATGATGACACTAATTAAGGTCTCGTTCGCCTGAAATAACCGTGCTGAGAATCTTAAGTCTGATGTCCGATGCTGCTGTTTCTTAGAATAAGAAGCGGCTCAGCTTGTTTTCATTCTTGTAATATGAATGGTGTTCGTTCATAACTGGAACTATCTCTATGGTTGCAACTCATCTGAGATGCTGTAACTGATATTGACAGAATTGACTGTACTACCATTGGTTACCAGGAGTGAATTGGAACCATGAATCACAGAACTAAACTACTCATTCGGATGCTTTGCATCTATGAATAGTGACCATTTCAACTCATTCCACGGGTAAGTTAAATCCCTGGGACTTTATATATTAGCCTTTCAACAGATTCCACAGAATTGTGAAGAAATCATATTATCCTTTCAACTCGCATGAAGACTGAACTTATCCTCAACACTCCGAGTGACAAGCTGATGAAGTGCATTGTAGGCGACACAGCGATAACCTGGTTAATTGTCCCTCAATTTTGAGAATTACTTGGTCAACATCACCGTCACTTACCCACACCCAGTCGATAATCCCTTCCAATCGAATGTCGAAGCATAGTTTTTATCGATAGTGTAATAATTCCACTCTATACAACAACAGTACTCTCTACTTTAAGTATGCAGAGCAGATAGTGCTATTATCCACATATTAAAGAACCTCATCACAACACATTCCTAAAATGAACAAGTTTGGTTCGAATCACACACTACCAGACTGTAGAATAAATTCTTTCAAGTGTAGCAGCTGTTATCTTCCATGCAATAGCATCCACACACCATGCGGGTAGGGAAAGAAACAAACATTGGGACAAATCTAATCGCTTACGTCGTCAACAGCAGCAGCAGAGATCTCTACGTAAACGCAACAAGCGACAGACCCAGTCAAGTGTGACATACACCAGCTGCTTCTACAATGACAATTTGTTTGGCACTAATGAGAAGCAACAAATTGCAGACGGCTGACTATACTAAGTCAGGTGGAGGATTTTACCCTAACTGTGGTCACAACCCCCACTCCACCACAACTGTTGATACTGTACTGTGCGAACATCCGCTTTGGTGGTAATGTGCCGTGCGGTGGCATCTTCATGTGTTATCGAGTGGTGCAGATCATGAGCAATGTGGCGTTGGGTGGTCGGCGTTCTACAGGGCATTGGCCCCCGAATTCATGGGAAAGGAGTTTGGTGCTGAACTTTTTTGAGGAACAGTGCCAAAATATAAGGTTTTTATAATAAAAAAGTATCTGAATAATAATGTTAATGAGAAGATGGGTTGAACATGTAACTATTTAAATAAATGTTGATGCAAATGTAACGTTAGGCTGTCAGAATGTGGACTTTTGAAAAAGTACATTGCTAACACGCTATCAAATAACTTCATGTGTGCATCTATACAATCTTATGTCTATGCTTTGAATTGTCACCTGTACACTAAAATGTATCATTGTTTAAGCTTGGTATTGTTATTGTTTACAGCTTAACAAATCTCAAAAACAATTACTCATATTATGATGCAATTTTATGACAGCACAAACCAAAATAAATATATTGTTATTTATAACTGTTATTATTTTAACAGTGTTGAATTAATGGCTAGAAGTGAACGTAAATAAATATCATCATTGGAGAAAATTTGATGATGACAAGCTTAGCCTCTTTACCACTTCAGATGATCGTAAAATTACAACATAAAAACAAGGAAAATAAAAGAAAATAAAAGAAACGAAGTGGTGGCACAAGTGCTGATTTAGATTTATTCAACAATTTTATCATGTTTAACAAGTTGATACCATGTTAAATAAAATAAAAATCAGGGCCCGTAGTCACAAAAAATTAGTGAATCCAATACTACCACAACAGACTTGTATTAAAATCCACATGTGCCCTTAAGTAAAGTCCTCTAGTGTTGAGTAAGAACAAGTGTGAACACAGCCCTAGAAAGAATGTGGAGGCTTTCGTAGCAAGCACCATGCCTGATCCCAGACTTACGATAGTGGGTAGGTGTGCTACCTTCTACCTGGGGAACGTGAGTGAAGACAGCCCCCTCTTCCACGCAGGCTTCGGGCAAGTTGATGGAACAATATTGATACCCGCTTTGTACCCGCGACAGGTGCGGCCGGTATTACAGAACGTGATCAAGTGGGTGCGCTTCAGCCACTCTGCTTAGAAAGCTACAATTGAGTGCGTAGTAGAAGGGTGGCTGTAGTGCTCAACTTGGTGAAGAGCTCGCTCTTGGCAGGTGTTAACGTTTTTTGTAGTTGTTGTCGCGCAATTCTCGTCCGCTCTTTCGGGACGCGGCGTTTTTCCGCATATCCAATTGTTGGTTGAGGATCATCGATTTCTCGCCCCCTGCATTGGATGGTTTATCTTCCGCTTCTGCCTCAATAATAACGCCTGTACTAACTGTACATCTCGTAATCCCCCCCCCCCCCCATGTTATTCGCTCATGGGGTACCAGTGGCCCAAATCGATGCTCCTCCCTTTTCCCGTGATGAGGTTTCGGTAAGATTTCTTGGCTTTTTGAGTTACGCCGCATCAGACTTGATGGCATGCATTAATTTCGGCCTCCAACTGTGCATGCGTGTGGGTGGACTCGGTTTTTCGGGCTCATTCATAAAATTTCGTTTGTGGTACAGTGAACAAAATATGTGGTGTGACAAGGACGGATCGTGATAGTTGGTTGCAATCGTGGACGTGAGTTTGTAGTTCTTAAATTCTTTCCTTGGACGGTCGGGGTTAGAATACTTGAATAATGCTCTTAGCGTTTGTTTTGATGACCTTGAATGCGCCATAAGTCGCTCCTTCTCCTTGCTTTAAGACCGAGCTTTCAAATTGGCGTGCATTTAGTTTACTTGACCTTTTACTCTTTTATCAGGTTAGTTAGAGGTCGCTTGGCTGTGATTGGTTCCATATTTTTCTCTGATTTCCGAGTGTTAGGCAATGGTGGATGCTTTTCTGTATAATTTCTTGGTCTGAAATCCGTCAACGTTATTCAGTTTATTCCCTGCGTCGTTACTGTACATTACATGCCTTCCATCTCCCATGACTTGCCTAGGTGGACTTCTTCTTTAATTGCAAATGGAATAATTCTCGTGTTTGAGCCATGCGTTGATTCTTCTTGATGGTTAGTCGTGAAGAATCACAATCTTCTCGTGGCTTTGCCCCTCAAAATATGTGAGTTATCGTGTCTACAATATCTTGGACGTCAGGGTTAGAGAAGAATAAGGAAACCAAGGCTTCGCATTCAGCGAGGATTAATCACGAGATTACTGTGGAGAATTCTTGCCGTCACGGCCCGAACTTCTTGCATCTGTGGCGTTTGTACGTACTGAATAGGAAGCTTGAAGCACGGTGTGTATCCGTCAGCCGACACAATTGAGTGCTACCGAAGCTTTGTAGCGTGCTGGCGACAGAGAGATTGGTTTATCAGGCTTGTTTAAGGGAGTAGTCTTCTTGATACATGCTGCGCATCAGATTCTCGTTTAGTTCTTAGTGCTGACAATAGAGATTCAAGTCTTTTCGCTGAGATTCTCAGAGATTCTCAACCTTTCCAGTTTATCCTGGGTCATTTCTGTGCAAGGGCGCTCTGGCTTTTCCTCATAATGCATTGACGAACAGACGTAGAATGTAGACGCCGCTCAGTCCGGGAAAGTCTGGAATGTGTTGTCTTTGTTGTGACAGTCGTAACTGGGTGCAGCAGATATCTGAGATATTCTTGTCTCGATTTAAATTAGCTTGGCGCCTGCTTGTTCCGTGAGTACGGTTGAGGGAATGTGCATTTCGCGCACCTCGGAGACTCGCCAAATTGTTCCGGTTTAGATTTGAAATTTTGGCTCTACATCAAACCGTCTTCGAAAACAGAGGGCCTGCGCAGCTCTAATCTTGTAATACAGCAGAGGAACGTAGCGTGTCTTGAATTTAACGTATAGAAATTGCCGCAGGTATGTCTGCGACGGAGGAGCTTTATCCTCTTCCGGACCGTAGCCAAGTTTTAATCCCGATGGAGTTCTGGCCGGAGTTTCTTGCGAACACCACCGGGACCGAGTTCCTTGCTGGAGGAATGGGGGGAATGGCAGGAGTTATCGCGGGCCATCCGTTGGATACTGTAAGAATTCGGTTACAACAGCCGCGGCTAATGGGATCTATGACGCCAACCACTGCGACAGGACTCATTAAGCACATTGTTTCAACCGAGGGGGCTATGGCACTGTTCAAAGGCATGGCAACACCCCTGGCCACAATAGCCTTTCAGGTTCGCAAATCACTTTTTCTGAGATTTTCCCTCCACGGATGTCTGTGTGCAGAGTTATTTTTGCAGCTTGAAGGATCATTCAAAGCATAAAAATATCTATTTCATAAATGTTTATATGAAAATTTCAATAGAACTTATGGACAACTACTTACCTCTTATGAATCTTACAGAATGCAGTCGCTTTCCAAGCCTACGCCCTCTTCTCTCGAGCCTTATCTGATCGTACAAGCCAAGAGGCTCTCTCGTATAGGAATGTGGCTATTGCAGGTATAGCAGCAGGTACCATACAGACGGGCATATTGACGCCTGTAGATTTGATAAAGATAAGATTGCAAATAGCCACGGATCGTCGGGCCCAAAGGAAAACTTTGCAATCTCCCCAAGCTGGACCGCTTGGACTTGTCCGGAATATTATGCGTAGAGAAGGTATTAAAGGGTTGTATCGCGGCTGGACGGCTACGGTAATCCGAGATGCACCTAGCCATGCAGGTAGTACTTTTACTTATCCGCTGAAGTTCACATATGCAATAAATGACAGAATACCATGTTCAGACATGGCTTGCCATGCACGTCTTGTCATGCGCAATTCTGCGAGGATCTAGCTGTGAGAAGCGACACTGGCTCATCCTTCTAATTTCAGACAGTTTTGTATCATATTGAATGAATTGCCGTCGATTGTCTTTTTTGGACATATTGAGAAGTTTAACTTGTGAGTTCAGCTCTCAGAGCGCACTTCTCAGAAAAGAACAGCTCATTATTTATTTATTAATCAATTTTTGTGTGATTCATTCTGCAGTATATTTCGGGACCTATGAGTACATGCGAGAGCTGCTGCATCCCGGCTGCAGAACGAATGGTGAAGAGTCCTTATCAACAATGCTCGTGTCTGGAGGTTTGGCCGGATCTCTGAGTTGGTTGTGTTGTTACCCTTTAGACGTTGTAAAATCAAGACTTCAAGCTCAGTGTGCAGGTGGCGCTCCTCCTCAATATAAAGGTATTATCGACTGCATCCGCACCAGTGCTAGTCAAGAAGGCAATGGAGTGTTTTGGCGTGGCTTGGGACCTTCATTAGCTAGGGCCTTTTTGGTAAATGGAGCTATCTTTTCTGCATACGAATTGTCCTTACGATATCTTACTCCTCGTTCTCCTAAAGACGATCTAGGGTTCCAACCTATGTCGTGAATACTGGGCCTTTGGAAATTGTACTGAGAATAGTATAAGGGGTCGTGCGAAGCATGATGAAAGAGATACAACCTTTTAATTTCGAAATAGTTTGAAGGTGAGTCTATCAGGTGGGTAGCATCAAAGTTGGTTGAATAGTTTTCAGGTTTAGGATATTTCTTGCAATGTACATTAAATTTATATTTAATCCTTCAGGACAATGCCTGTCAGAGGATACATCAATACGTGGTTCTAACATTATGCAAGCAATGTGGATCGTATTTTTCATCAGAAGCCAGGTCTCGTAGCTCTGCTCATGAATCGTGAGAGTGCTCATGTGTACATTGTTTCATACCCTGATAATGAAGAAGAAACAGGTTTTTAACCATTTGATGGTTTGTATTCCAGAACTCTATTTCTTCGTCCTCATTTGACGTTGAATGTTCTAGATAAGGCTTCGCATCGACGAATGAGTACTTGCCATATGAGTCTGAAGTGGTTTATTGAACAGTGGCCTTTCGAAGGGTGAAAACTTGCAGCCGACTGCTGCCACTAGAAAGATTGAAATTTTATTTTACAGTATATTTTCACATGAAAGAGAAGTTTTTTGAAACCTGTGATTTTTTTCTAGAGTAGCAAGTCTCGTAGAACTCGGATCATCCGATGCCCTCGTTGTCTTCACGAGGATTCCCCCAACACTTGAGCAGTATGCAAGTGAGGACCCAGCAATGACCAGAACTCTCCTCTTAAATGCGATTTCTTTTCTGGTTTTCGTCAGCATCTTTCTCCCTTCCTCCATCTATTGCGATTAGATCTCATTTTTTTAGGAGATTTATTTGATTATTTTGGATTTGTATTTTTTTTTCAAATGATAAATATGTTAAAAAATAATAATAATTGACTCTCTTCTGTAAGACTTGACTGTTAAGTGAATCATTAATAATAATTAGTTGGTTGAGATGAATTTCTTTGATGAATATATTTTTGAAAGAAACTGCGATTATAAAATACAATATTACTCAACTTGATGATTTATGATCCAACATTTCTTCTACATCAAATTTCTTATAATTATCAGTTTTTAGAAAATAAAATAGTACTTGTAAAAATAAAATAAAATAAAATTCAATATCAATTTATAAAATACTTTGGTTTTTTTCAAAAATTCAAAGGAAAATATAAATTATAATATATTTCTCTATAGATATTGGTAATTCTAAATGTTGACTAAAAGATTAACTTGCTTTGAAATAATAAAATAAATCTGACTTTTAATAATCCTATAGTTTATAAAGTTAATTAGTCTTCTTTCTACTATTTATTTAACCTTAAATTAAACATAGAATTTTGAAAGAATCTCTCTCTTTCTTTCTTTCTTTCTTTCTATAAATATATATGTATATATCTATCTATATTAAATTATGATGTTTTTTATTTTGTTACTATTTTATACAAAAGAACATATTATTTTTATGAATCAATCTACTACCAAATGTGTAATATTAAAAGTGTGTAAGAACAAGTAATTTATAAGTAGATTCTCAAATATTAAATATTACATTTTAATATTAATATTTAGTTGTATATAAATTTCTATTTTTTCTTTACAAATAAAATAGAAGCTCTAATATAAAACATTTAAATATCAAACAAATATATATCTATATATATATATATATATATATATATATATTTAATATGTTCATTGAATGCTATGTGTTTATTTAGTAATTAATATAAATAGGTCTAAAGTTTGTTGGATATTCTCTTAAATAACAATTATACAATTTTAATTCACAAATTTTCTTATAATTTTGGTACAACATAAATTATAATTTTTTTTTGGCTTCTTTAGAATTTTGAATGTTTACATTAAATTTTTTTAAATGTTATAAAAAAAAGACATTCTTGGAGAAAATTTTAAAATATATTTCTTCTAGTATACTTATAAATTGTAGTTTTAAACCATAAAAGGTCTAAATCATTAAGACTAAATAAACGTTTTATGGTTCTAAATATAATCAAACCATAGTCATTATATAATCATTTATTTACTAAGTTTATTTTTTAAATATATATATGTTAAATTTAAAAAAATTTGATAATATACTATAATATTTTAAATATTAATTTAATTTATAAAATATCTTTATTTTATAATTTTATTATAAAAAATTTGTATTGATTGCACCTTGCACTAACTACACCATGCTTGGGTCTCTTCTACAAAAACTTATTATGACTTCATTTCTTGCAAATCTTTTAGTAAACTACGCCTTAACTGCCTTCTCTTTTGTAGATGATAACAAATGTCATTATTTGGCTCATTGATTTGTTTGGCTAGATTTTGGTTTGTTTCTTTCTTTATTTGTTGATATGTTGGTTTGTTTGTTAAGTGGACATCAATTGTAAAGAATTTGAAAAAAAAGATTTGCATGTAAAAAGTAACATAATGAAAGATTCTACTGAGAATATATACAAGCTTTTTAATTTGTTGATGTTTTATTTATTTATTTTTTCTTATTTGTTTGTTTGTTTGTTTGTTTTTGTTTTATTTATTTTTCTTTATCACTTAGAATATTGACTAATATTTTTAAGAGATATTTTTAAAATAAATAAATATTATTATAGATTTTACATGAATTTCTTTTGTATTATTTTGAATAAATGGACAAATAAAATCAATTGACCTTTCAAATCTTTAATATTGATCATTTGTGAATATTGTTAATGTAAATAGATAAAAGTAAAATAAGTTACTTTATAGAAGTTATTACCTTAAGTAAGTTACTAATGGTCAAAGGATTGACTGTTAATATATGAAAAAAGAATCATATGGATATAAGATGAGGTCAAGGATTAAGAGTCAAAATTAAGAAGATAAAGTATCAATTAGAGAATATTCAAAGATTAAGTAAGAGTAATCAATATTGGACATAGGATATTCTTGTGGTAAGTTAGATACCAAAAGATCCTAGGACCATGTATATAAAAATCAAAGGGTCGAAGTTTTCTTTTAAAGAAGCAACTACTACCTATAAGTAATAGGTGTTTGAAGTGAGAGACATCTTACTCAATATTCTCTTTGTGTACAATTTTGTTGATGCTATTTGTTATTGACTTCAAAGTTCTTTTTATTTAATAGGTATGGACCCATTCATCTTTAATTGCAAGTTTTGAAGTTCTTTGGAGTCTTTCTTGTTTTGAGGAAATTTTATGGTTGTTGGTGATGTTATGATTTGATATCATCTAATTCCACTTTGCATTTAGTTGTTGATGTAGTTTTTCTCTTACTTGTTGTTAAGAGCACTCATGATCTTAGAGGTTGATAAATACCTTAGAATGATGTTTTAAAATACTAGTATTGTGTTTCTTTGGTGAATTACATCATTGGTGCACTAATATTATGCTTTCATGTGCTTAAGTTCTTAAAAACTCTTCTTATAGTGATATGAGGTGTTTTATAAGATTAGAAGTATTATTTGATATTAGAGGTGATTAAATAGTCAAAAAACTTATATAAGAGGTTTAAGTAGAGTATAAGACTTATGAAAAGTTTGATGACTGAAGTTAAAAGTGATTAAAGAATAAAATCACTAGTTTATTCACAAAGAAGGCATTTTGGGTTTCTAAGGCAACAATATCTTTTTGTTGATTTTTAGGATTCTATCTTTTCTTTTCTTGATTTTCTTTGATATATCTCTTCCTTAGATATAGCTTCAAGTGAAAGTGAGAGCTTTAGAGTTATTGAAAAGTATAGATGTGACAATTTCTACCATTGGAAGAAGAAAATGGAGCTTTTGTTGGCTTCATTGGACCTTTAGAATATTGTTGATGAAAGTGAAGAGCTTCTAAGTGACAATGCTGATGTGAAGGTGAAGAAGGAGCTCAAACACATGAAAGAAAGGCTTTTTTCATGATTATAATAAATCTTGATGATGCCAACTTTTCATAGTTGCTTGCAATGAAACAACAAAAGCATGGAAGATTCTTTGCAATATCTATGAAAGTAAAAATCTTACTAATATTCTATCGACAATGAAGAAGTTCTTAATGGTAAAGATAGAAGCTACTTCATCAATTATAAATAGGTGAATAGAGTCGAAGTGGCAACATTTGTTGATTTTTCTCAAGATCAAGACAAGTTTGAAATTTGACATTAATAACTTAGTCATTTGACTGCAAAAAGCATGAAGGAGCTTCAATCCATGATAAGTGGCTTAAAACTTGCTCAATTTAGTCATATTACCATGACACTTTCTTATAAAGGTTCAAGGCAAACAACAAAAGACTTCATTTTCAAGTAGAGTTATAATACATGCTAAAAAATTTTTGGAAATTGTATATTATGATATTTGTGGACCTATGAAGACAACATCAATAAATGGAGCAAGATACTTTATCGCATTCATTGATGATTTTTCAAGAAAGATATGGATTTATATCCTTAAAGCCAAGAATGATTGTTTTTCAAGGTTTAAGGAGTTTAAGACATTTCTAAAGAAATAATATGAGTGCAAGATTAAAGTATTGCACACAAATAATACAAGTTAGTATATATTAAAATATTTTAATGAAATTTTAAAGATTCAAGGAATTGTAAGACTAATCTCTACTACTTATATTCAATAAAAAATAAAGTTGCTAGAAGAGCAAATTATATCATTGTGGAGATTGCAAAAAATATGCTTCATGCACAAAATCTTAAGGATGAATATTGGATAGAAGCCATAGTCACAATAGTGTATACAAGAAATAAATGTACTACAAGTGCACTTACATCAATGACTCCATAAGAAGCTTGGAGTAGCAAGAAACCTTGTATTTTAGATGCATTGCTTATGCAAAGACATCCAATTGTATGAGGTTCAAACTTAAGGCAAAAGGTACAAAACGTATATTTGTTGGAAATTGTGAAGGTCGTAAGGCATATAAACTAATGTGTTTAAAAACTTAGAAGATCATTAAGAGTTGTAATGTAGAGTTTTTGGAGCATAACAATGCTTGTGATTACTTGGAGATGTATCTAAGTAGAAGTAATGATGTCTTTATAGACACATTTTTAATTCTAGTAAAGAAAATAGAATAAGATGATAGTAATGAAGACAGTGGAAAATTAAATAAAGATGAAGAATCAAAGAAGATAGATCAAAGTATATTTACAATTGCAAGAATCAATAATGAAGACAATCAAGATGTTGAAGATGATGATGATGATGTGGAATACCAACCTTTATTTATTTTTTCAAATAAATAAAAAATATGTGAATATTGTATTTTTTGCTAATACATTGAGTTTGACAGATGGTATGAAGTCAAAGAATGCTATGAAAGAAGAGTATAAAATACTCATTGATAATATAACATGGAAATTGACTCATTGTTTATTAAATAAATCTTTAATTGATTTTTAAATAGATGTTTAGACCCATAAATGATCCAATGGACAATGTTATAAGATATAAATTTAGATTAATTTTGAAAGACTATTCATAAGTTTTTGGTATTAAATTCAATGAAATATTTGTTTTCATGACCAAATTTACTAATATTAGAAATATTATGGCAATTGGGACACTAATGAATTTGGAGATGTATCAAATAGATGAGAAGATATCTTTTTGTCATGGACATTCACATGTAAACTAGTAATTATTTAAATGATTAGATAAAAATAGATAAAAGTAGGTTAATTCTATAATATCTTCTATAGAAGCTTTCTAGAAGCTTCATAGATATTGCTTTGATATTATAGGTGTCTATAATTAATTTTTTAGGTTAAAAACGTGATCAACAAGTTAGCCATGTACCACATATGTTGATAGCTTCAAGAACAAGCTAACTATATGGCTCACACATAGAAAACTTGCCTTGTAAGCTAAAATATGTGTCTTACAAAGTCAACACATATTAGAAATCTTATAGAATATTGTCACGTAGCTCCTAGTTAGATAATATATATAGAGGCAAGAATGAAGCCTTCTTCACTCTTGTCAACTCATTTCTTGTTTTTACTCTAGATTCAAGAGTTTCTACTTTTCTTGACTTTTGGCAATAACCATTCCAGTTTCTTTTTAATATACATACTTCTTTATTTCTCTTTTGTTATACTTCTTTATTTATTTTCATCAAGTTCTTATCTTTGATACTTTTTAAAATAGAAATTTGAAAGAAAATATCTGTATGGATCAACCTTAAAGATTTGTTGAAGAAGATAAAGAATATCTTTTTTGTAAATTGAAGAAATCCTTATGTGTACTCAAACAATCACCAAAGATATGGTACCAACATATTGACGTATTCTTTATAAATTAAGGATTTATAAGAAGTAAAGTTGATCATTCCATATATGTGATATACTTAAATGAATTCATATTGATTGTCATTTTCTATGTTGATAATTTAATCATCTTAATCATTACTTTGAAGATGATAGATTAATTGAAGGCAAAGTTAGAAAAAAAATATGAAATGAGTGATTTGAAAGAACTTTACTACTATTTAGTGGTAGAGTTTATTAGAGATCATGCTAAGAAGACCATTACAATGAATCAAAGCAATTATATAGAAAAAATATTAAAATGATTTAATATGGAAGAATGTAAAGCCTATTGGAATACCTTTGGACATCAATTTGAAGTTGATGAAGTTCACAGATGACGAATTTTCTAAAGTTGAAGGTCAAATGTAAAATATTTCATATAAAGTAAGAATAGGCTCACTTATATATGCAATAATTGATAGAAGGATGGATCTTGCCTATGTAATGAGTGTTATGAGCCAACACATGTTTAAGGCTGGACCAATTTATTGGATAATTATTAAAACGATTTTGAGATACTTAAAAGGTACTTTGTATTTCAAATTGTATCTTGGAGGTGATAACATTACTTTGCATAGTTATTAAGATGTGAATTGACTTAGAGATGCAAATAATAGAAGGTCAATACTGGGATATATGTTCTTTGTTAGAGTGGGAGCTATTTCATGGAATTGCAAGAAACAACCAATAATTACAAAATCAATAATAGAGATGAAATACAAAGCAGCAAGCCATGGTGCAATAGAAGCAATATGACTAAAATAACTTTTGGAGGACATTGGAATAGTGCAAATGGAAGAAACTCCAATAGAGTGTGACAATCAAGGATGTCTTGCATTTGCAAAGAACTTAAAGCATTATTCAAGGACCAAATATTTTGACATTCAACATCACTTCATAAAGAAGAAGATTAAAATAGAAGTGATTGATATGAAATATTATGCAACAGAAGACATGCTTGCTAATTTCTTGACAAAGGCATTAATAAAGGATAGACATCACATATTTACAAAGGTAATAAGATTGAAAGCCTTTGACCAATAGTAAAGTAGAAATATTAATGTAAATAAATAAAAGTCAAATAAGATATTTTATAGATGTTATTATTATAAATAAGTTACTAATTGTCATAGAGTTGATTCTTGGCATTTAAAAAGGACATCCTATAGATATAGGATGAGGTCAAGGGCCAAGAGTCAAAGTCAAGAGAATACCTTATCAACTAAAAAATATCAAAAGATTAGGTAAGAATAATTAGTATTGAAAATAGGATATCCTTGTAGTAAATTAGATGCCAAAAGATTTTAAGACCATGTGTATAAAAGTCAAAGAGTAGAAGTTGTCTTTTAATATAGCAACCACTACCTATAAGTAATGGATGTTGGAGGTGATAGACATCTTACTCCATATTCTCTTTATGTGTAACCTTGCTAATGCTATATATTATTGACTTCAAAGTTATTTTTATTCAATAAATATATGTCTTTTATGTTAAATACATAAATGGAATAAAATTGCTTCAATTTTTGTTACAAGTATTTATAAAGTTTTGACATTTTAATTTATTTTGTGAATGATTTTTTTAATTAATAAATAATATAATATATTTATTTATTATAATTATAAGTATTATTGATTTATTATGTAGATCTTTTTATATTATATATGTTAAAATATTAATAGTACTAGTTTGTTTTTTAATAATATAAATTATTTATAATATTAATATGTATATATATATAGCAAATTTTATGCTACAAATTTTAATTAAACATAAAATAAAATAATAATTTTGAAAAAAACAAAAAAAAGAAAGAAAGAAAGAAAGAAAGAAAAAACAAGTTCTGAAAATATTAACTAAGTATAAAATATTTACTAGGATCTGTATGAAACATATACTTGTAAGGTTGTTTTTAACATATTTTCTAAGAACACTTCACACTTGTACTGCAAAGTAAAAGATCATTTTGAACATCAATGCTTAGAATGTATATATTTTTTTATAAATCCATTAATTCATTTTAAAATTATGAATATTTTTTTAAAAAATATGTATAATCTTGCTAATTGTAACTCATCATAATTAATGAGCATTTGAATATGCATTAAATTTTCACACATTCTTATTAAAATCAAAAATTACACTATTATTCCACAGATTGGACCACTTCTTGTTTATTTGTTTGTTTATATTTTACATTTTTTGAAACTTATGCAGAACATTCATTTTACATATTTTTAAAAAATACATTCTAAAAAAAACTATAAAATCTCTTTTTAGTTAAGCATTTACCTCATGGTGTAGAATACATATCAATTCAAAAACACCTCCATTGGACATAAACAATAAAATTATCAATAATATGCTTTTATTGTTATATCAAAATGTTACCATCATAATCCATTAAATAAACAGATGTTCTCTCTGTCTATTTTTAAAATATTTATTAACTACCCATTTAGATTGGCATCTTTAATGGACGCTTTTGGATTACATTAAACATGTACTAATCCACGATATCACATTAATCACAGCATCTCAAACAAAAGCAAAAGAATGTATCATATGACTCCACATGTACCAATTTCAAGACACATGCATATAAATTGTTCATAGCAGAAAAACACCAGAAAAAAGTTCATTCTGTACCTTTTGAATTTAAGAAATGAAATATACATAAAAAATGCTGCAAAAATTACTTTATTCTCAAAATTTTAAAGCAATAATGGCATCAAACCATATTGTTATATGTACACATTACATATTATAATAATAACAATAATAATAATTTTACAAAGCTATAGAGATAATTTATGGGTTCAGGGGCCATGGACAACTTCAACACTAATGTCACAACATCAAGACCTCAGGTATTAATATCAAAAACAGGATAGTTTGATCCAGATTAATAACCTTCTGAAAAAATAGGTTGTTGACCCTACACCATTTTATCCATACACTAAATAAGAACCACAACGCCTCTGTTTCCACAATTAACAGCGGAGAATGGTTGTTCCTGAGTTGAGAACTTTTGTTCCCGAATTGAGAACGAAGGGAACTACGTCTCTCTCTGACGGGAGCTTCGACGTCGTCTGTCAGTGAGTTTGGTTCGAGCTTTGCCAAATTGATGTTCGAGCTTGTTTCCTTGTTTCCCTTGCACTGGAACTGCATTTCATGTTGCCGCACTGATGGGATCTCGAATTCCATTAGCTTATATAGCTGTGCAGACCCATTCTTTACCCGAGGATTTTCATGGGCTCCACGTCGAAAATACTGTGAGCGGTACTACTTCTTGAGCATTCGTTTGCATTTGGGTTGAATTCGGCTGTCTGTGAGTTATCGAACAGCTCGAAATTTTTTTTATGGTTTTGGATGGGCTGCTGAGAAAGAATCGGATACAGAGAGAGATCGTGGCTATGGTTTTGGAGTATGTTTGAAAATTGTATTTTAGGAGATTGTTATCATTCATAAGCTAGTGAATTTCTAAGGCGAGGCTGATTGGAGGTTGGTTGGAGACTTCTGGCGCAGTATTTGGGAGCAATTATGGAAGTATTTTTAGGGGACATTGTTCGGTTTGCGACTTGACATGAAGAACTAGTGATGGTTGCGGTATACATGAAGTGTGGAGTGTTGTAGCAGTAATGGCAAGTGATGCAATGGTCTAGGATTTAGGTTTTTAATGAGTGGTTTTACTCGGGTTTGACTATTACGTGTTGAAGAAATATCAGTTTGATTGCTGGGTTGTGTCATGCTGGGGTTTTACGGTACGCACCCGAGGAATTGCTGTATCCCGTTCCGGTTTGGCTCTTTAAGTGAATTGATCGTTTTTTTATGGATTCTGTGTTTCAGGGTTCTTGACGAATGAGCAAAGATGGCATATGCACTGGTAGATGTTCTGGACCTACTGTCGAGCCACACTATCAAGGATGGAGACATTTTCGTTGCCGATCGACTTACGCTAATTAAGCACTTTATATTTATTTATAAATGTATATATATACTTTTGTTGCCTTTTTTTTGTTAATTTTGGTGAGAATGCCACTGTTTGTCGCCAGCGCCGCGTTTCTTTGATTCTCATGTGTCTCCAACACCTTAAATTGATTTCTGAGGCTTAGATACAAGAGTGGGTATTTTGCGAAGTCTTCGATGACAAGCATTGCAAAAGCCGATAGGTTTACGATTAGGTGATGACAATGCTTGGAGTGTGTATGTTCATGATTCTGAATTTACATTCCGAGTTATAACAATACCGGTTCCTTTGCCCATAGTGCCTGGTCTATTCCAGAGTCTGTAGCCACAATATGCGTAGTTGTATTATTATGGCTTAGAACGTTTGCATTTTATTGTCATGCGCATCTCACAGGTTTGAGAAAGTACTAGTTTTTCTGCATATGATTGAGGACTGAGGGTGGTAAAAAAAACAGTTATTGCTTGTGGGAACGAGGAAATATTTCTAACATGTGATGAACATCGTGGCAGGGTTGGGGTTTTGTTTAGGTTAGAATTGATAGAGATGGATGGGTGACATTTCTTTCTGAAGGAGGGGATTTGAGGAAAAGGAGGTCTAAAGGTAAAGGGTGGAAGAGAAAGAGAGATGAGCTTAGACGGGTCGGAGTCACTAGCACCGGCATTATCACCATCATCCAGTTGTGGTGATTTTGCAGCTTTGCTTGACGCTGAGCTATTTGTACATGAGCAATCAATGGCTGACAGGCCGGAAGACGAGGGTTTGGTTATCTATGGGAACATGAGCTCTTCTCCACATAGGTTCTCAATTTGAGCGTGTTGCCCTGGCACTTGGGCGATTTTCACCTGATAGTTGTCAATGTTTGTTGTCAGGCAATAGTACAAGTTATGTGTAGGTTTTTGGGTTGTTTCTAACGTTTTGTTGTTAACGGGCTAAGCAGACATTCAACTGGGTTAAGAGTTGGGTTCATAAGCCTATGACAATGGTTAGGAGAGTGCTTGATTTTTCATCAACTATTCTTAAATTCTTGCATCCATTAGAAATGTGAAATTGGTGAGTTGAAGGCTCTGACACACTCCAATATGGGGAGCTACCAGTCATAAAGTAGTGTGCGAAGCTTCTCCATGTCTGAGTAGACACTAAAAATCTCTGGTACTCTTTTATTGGCAATATTGTGAGTAGTGAAGAATCTCTTTGGGAAGACTTTGAACCATGTGGGTGGTGTTCTAAGGGGTTGGAATTGTGATCTCTCGACATTGTGATGGTCTGTGGAAGTCATTTAACTTTTTTGGATTATGATATAAGATGAGTAATTTTAATATCAAAGTTATAGGTTGAAGTGAGGTTACTAAATGTTGGTTTTAGGTTTATTTGAGATTGATGGTTTAGTTTTAGAATTATAGATTCAATTTGTAGGATGGAAGATTGAATCAATGTAGAAAAAAGAGTGTTTGAAAAATATTTTTGAAATACTAAGCAAAACTTATGTGTAATTTTCTATAGGTGGTGAGAAGGCAAAATTGGAAATTATTTTTATTAAGCCATTTTGGAATATCTTTTGGAATCATTGAAGCAATATATATTCATAGTTTGGAGCTATTTCCATGGTCTTTTCATGCCAAGATTTTTAAGCACAATGGAACAATATGAAAAAAATCAAATGTGTAAGGTATTTGTGGAGATACTTGAGAATGATCTAAAGTCTATGTTGGAGCATTTAAGGCTTTATTGAAAAAAAATAACTTATTGAATAGAAACCAATGTATTAATTTGTGCAAGAAAATTAAATATGTTACAAAGTTTTTTGACCACTTGATGACTTCCACCAATGATGGATTAGAATTTGGACCTTTATTGGATGAGTTATTTTTTATATTAAACAAATTTTATTTTTTAGTAGAAAATTGTGAAAAAAAAAATTGATATGAAGAAGCTATCTTCCAATTGAATAATAAAAAAACTTTTAGAGAACTACTTTTGGATTTAAAATGTTGTAATATAGCATTTAATATACTTTTGATGCATTATTCCAACAAAGTTGACAACAATATCTTTGCTACTTTTAATGTTACAATACATGATGATGAGGAAGAGAATGTTGAGTTTTTATAGAAGAAATTGATCAATATAAACAAAGAAGAAGATTTTGAATATTTTGGATTACAAAGATTTGGAGACTTGCTTTGTATAGAAAGAAAGTTGGATAATTTGAAACTATTGTCATACATGAAGAGTCTTAAAATTACAAAATGCATACATGAAGAGAATTATGGTGAAGTTTATAAATCAAAGTGGTTGGAACTTATGTGTGCAATTAAAAAGATGGATATTGTAATTGATAAAATGTTCATCAAAGAAATGAACATTCTAGTAATTTTAAGCTATGCCAACTTGATAATATATTATTTTGCAATGAAAGGTAGTGCCAATGGAAGTATTGAGTCTTTTGTAACAAAAGATAAAAAAGAATATTTGTATATTAGAATGGAATTGATGCAAAATAATTTGAGCATTATATTAGAAGATAAAAAGAGGTATCTCATATTTTTTTTATTAAAATTATACAACAAATTGCAAAAGAAATGTGTTAATTGTATGATATGCATATTGTACATTGAGATCTAAAACTTGAGAATATTTTGGTTAATATTGTGGAATCAAAGATTATGAATAAGATCATTCGCCATACTATTGTAAAAGTGATTGGCTTTGAAATGTCTAAGATTGAAGTTGGAAGAAATTCAAAAGCCATAGAGAATAATTACATTTATTGTGGTCTTAGATATATGGTTCTAGAGGCATTGAGAATTAAATTTCAAATAATGGCAATGTATCATTTCTAAGCCAATATTTATTCATTTGCAATGATTTGTTCTAAAATTCATTTTAAAAAAAATCCATTTTATGATGTTCATGAGATGAAAGGGATATTTGAAAGAATTGAAAAAGATGAAAGATCAAACTTACCTTCAAATTATGATGACTTCATTGAACTTATCCAAGAATGTTGGAGGTTGAATCTTTTGCATAGACCAAATTTTGCAAATATTTGTGAAAGATTGGAATTACTAAAGAAAAATCATTTAGTTGGAATTGATATGGAAAATTCTCCAAAGTTTGGAATATCAAAAAACAATTGTCATCAAAATATAGAATTTCAGCAAATATATAATGGATTGCCATTGGTAAGACTTGTACAAGTAATCCATTGAATTGATTGTATTGATGGTATTTAAACTTCTACACACTCTTCTATGCTATAATAATATTTATATATCTTATTATAATTTTAAGTTAGTAAGTCTAAGTTGAAATGTAGTATATGCATTATTTTGATTTTATTGTTGATTTTTGGATGAATTTTATAATTGTAGGTTGATATATTTGATTTTTTTTTTTAGTGGAGCACATTATTTATTACAAATAAGATCACAATGTCCAAATAAATTGAAGTCATTATATCTTATTAGAGTGAATGAAGTAGATAAGACCACATGAGCAAATGCTATATTAATTAGTGTAAAAGACTTATACAATGCTTCACACTTAGTTGAGTGCATTGAAAGTGGAGGTGATTGCTATATGTTAAAGACACAAACTGGAAGAAGATACATAAACTTATGGAATCTATATCAAAAGGAAAGTGACAAAATAAAAGAAAATATATATATTCAAAGAAGAATTAGAATGGCTATTGCCAAAGACTAGAAAATATAAGATTCTTGAAACTAGATTAAAAGCAGGAAAGGAGTTGACAAGAGTGAGGAAGGCCTTACTCTTGCCTATGTATATACTATTTAACTAAGAATTATGTGGCGACATGCTATAAGACCTTTAATATGCATCTAACTTGTAAGACACATGTCTAATTTGAAAGGCAAATTTCCTAAGTATGTACCATATGTCCAACTTGTACTACAAGTGGTCAATATGTCGACACGTGTCCTCCTTGTTGGCCAAGTTTTCAATCTATCAATCACCTATAGTCACGAATAAAGGCAAAGTAGTATCTATGAAGTTTTTAAGAAGCTTTCTATAAGATATTATCATATTTATCTATTTTGACTTACTTCTACCTATTATTATTATCTAGATAATTATCAAGATAAATATGTATGTTCATGACATTATCCCCCATTCTAAAGACAAGTTCCACAAAGATGGGTGATTACATGTTGATGAAGCCCAAGATGCGTCAAATTATATTTGCCACATACACTGATCATTTTTTCTTTTGAAGATAGTTGATAGGTCCTTTCAACCAATAATAATGTCCCATACTAAGGCAATAAGACCATCATAATATTTGATCATTATTAAGGCCTTCATAACTTCTTTTAAACAAAAAATTAGTAATACCATCAAGAATGGTTCCTACTTACAAAAGTATTACTAAACACCAGGAGTCCCTTTCAAGGTTGTGGTACTAAACACATTGTATCTTGCCATCTATTTGAAGAAGAACATGTCATTTTTAAGGATCTTCATTTTGATTTTGTTGTCTCAAAGATTGTAGTAGTTGTAATGTCTCATATGGCAGCTCAGCAAATGATAGCTCTTGAGTTGAATCTGTTAGTTGTTGGTTCTCCATCTCCTAAGCATTAAAAAATCCAAAGAAACAATGATACAAGATAGAATGAAATCTCTATTGGGTTTGCTTTGTTTTATTGCAAAAAATTTCTTGACTCTTCATTTTGGTTTTTATGGATGTCATTGATGAAAAGCTTTAACTTTGGGTGATACATTTGCTAGATTCTTGGATGGCTCCTATGTACATTCATTAATGTCATATCCATGCTAATGTACCAAATATTTTAACCTATTTTGGCACTGCCTTGAATCAAAGACTTCTTCCATTTTAAATTCTTTATTATTGTCCACTTCTATAGGAGGTGGTGGCATTTGTCTCCTTCTTTGTGTATCTATTCTCTTGTTTGTCTCAAGTAAAGACACATAGAACATAAGATAGATTTTCATAGACTCCGGTAGGTATAATCGATGAGCAACTCGATTGATATGTTCACAAATAGAAAATAGTCCAAGCCTACGATAATCTAACTTATTACAATGATGAATAGTTTTAATATTATAAGAAAGTAATCATATCTTATCCTCTACATGGAATTGAGGTTGTTCATTGCAATAGATATCTGCATTGGCTTTTTGTCATTTTTGAGCTTTTTTTAATTGTGCCCTCATTCTTGCATGTAGCTTTGACAATTGATTTGTCACATCTTCTCCCATAGGATTATCAACTTTTGAAAAGTCAAAAGTGTCAAATTCTAGATGATAACAGTAATTAACAAAGAAAGGTGTTTATTGAGTGAAAGAATGTACCAAATTATTGTAAGCAAATTCTACTAATGGCAAAAGAGTTGTCAAATCATCTTGTTGATAGTTGATGGTACATCTCAAATACTACTCTAAAACTTGATTTATTCATTTTATTTGTCCATCATTTTGAGGGTGAAAAGCAAAAGATAGTTTTATATCCACCTTCAATATCTTGAAAAGGATTTTCAAAAATTTCAATAAAAACTGTGTTCTTTTGTCTGATATAATATCTCTTAGTAATCCATGATAGCGACAGATGTTGTTAAGCAAGAATTTAACTATTCCTTCACCTCTGATAGATTTTACACATAGTACAAAATGTACCATTTTGGTGAAACAATCTACAATCACAAATAAAGAATCATATGAACTTGAAATTGGAAGATCCATGATAAAATCCATAGAGACAAAAGACCATGGTTGTTTTGATATAGGTAATAGTTAGAAGAGTCTATAAGATCAATGATAAAGACTTTTTGATCTTAAACAAATATCACATATCTGTACAAATTCTTTAGCAATCTTCCACATTTGAGGCGACCAAAAATCTCAAGATATAATCTCCTATGTCTTATTATCTCCAAAATGTCCTGTTAGAGGAAAATTGTGACGAGCTTCAAGAGCACCTAATTGAGCTTCTTCTTCTGGAACATATTAGCATCTTTTAAAATAGAGTAGATTTTCCTTAAACTCTAACTTCAA